AGTAATAAAAAATATAAATAAAATAAGTTTATAGCCAAAATAATTAAAGCCCGTACAGATTTTAATCTGATTGGACTAGACATTGTGGAAAGCCGTACGGGACCCTGTTTAAATCGTCAATTTAAATTGCATATTAAAACATATAGCATTAATATCCTGTTGCTTCTTCATAAAAGTGTGATTTTTGATGTCTACGTTTACCGATTGGAGTAGACGCAATCAGCGCAAAACTTATTCACAGTCGTCGCTAATTAATTAGCAGTTGTTGCAAATCGAGTTGTAGTAGTCGCGATTTAACAGGTGATGTCACTAACACTCTCATGAGAAGTCATTATTAATGGACACCTACTTTATTTCTATCTCCCCCATCCTCTAAACGATCAGATTACAAAGTACATAAGTTAAACGAGTTTTGAAAATAACGTATAACGGCATCACCAACTGGCGTAATATCAAGTGAAATATACTTACATAGGAAGACTTCTGTTCGTCCGTGGCCTGACAATGATGTGCCTTGCTCTGAGTTGTATTTATAGAAACCCCAACCATATACACGACGTGTAGATGGAGTGTTTACAATCACTTTGCGTCAAAGTTAGAAAAATGTCATCATCACAAATTTATTATTTGCGAACACTTTATTTTGAAAGAACTTATTTTCGATGTCATAAAATGACAAAGAATCTTAAAATAAATGGGTGGGAACAGAACTCGCAAGGTACATTGGGATAACACCTGTATCAGAGAACTGGTGATAATTTCTTTTTCAAGAGCCCATTTAATTCGTAATCGCGACTTTCCCCTAGTATGAATTTGCTGTAAATTGTAATCGCACAAAATTAAGTATGTTTGATTAGTCGCAAACACACGGACGTGTCGCAGAATATGCCTCCTATAGATAGCCATTGAATGCAGCAGTGCGTTTTCTTTATGGTATGAAATGACAGACGTGGGAAAAAAACAAGCCAACACCAACATCGTTTTGAAACCATGCCGTTGACAATACACTGAATGATTTATATTGAAAAAAGAAAACAAATTATTATTAATTAATTAATGAAAAATATTTAAAAAATAGCGAAAATCGAAACGTATAGAATATGAGTGTCCGAAAGGCATTACCATCTGCTGTACACGTTCGAATATTCGTTTCTTCCCGGATATTTGTTTTCGTAGTTTTTAAATGAATTTAATACAGAGATAAAACATACCTTATGCATGACCCAAAAGGTTACACATCCTGGCACTTTCAGGGGATATTGATGTCCTATGATAACAGTAATAAGTTCCAGTATTTATATGTCATCTTTTACCATG